AATAAAACACCCAGGTGAATGTAAGAAAAAGGTAAATCCACTACTTATATCATTCTTTGTTAGAGACATAATTGTTCTTAGCTGAGGCCCTGGCTCCTCATGCAAAGATCGGATAAAATATAAATATATTGCTTATCTTGTACTTTCAGCTGAGACTGAATAGAGCAGAAGAGAATTGTCTCCCCAAATGATGTTGGTTAGAATCATTAAAACAAGGAACTTGCACTCAGAACTATGTCGCAAATGGTTTGGATATTGGCTCTTACCTAATGGGTCAACGTGGGTCTGGGGCATAAATTAAGAGTCCATAGGTCTAATCAGGTGTTAGAAATTCATGGTCACTTACTTGCCATGGGTAAAGGGCAATGCTGTGACCCTGACCCTTTTCTTTTTGGTATTGTTTCCTTCCAACATGACAAAAGGTGACAATTGTGAAGGAGAGCACCCACTGAGTGTGAGTGCTCTCGGTGTGAGTCAGGACCCTGGAAAGTCACAGTCTCAAGTCATGTGGAGAGTGTTCGGGGATAGCAGGAGATCTTAACTTCGATTCCGAAAAACCACAAATGAATCGGGTAGGGCAAGAGCTTCTGTCTACTTTTAGTATACATGGATTCCTAACACTGGAACAGACCTCATACTTGTAGCTCTGGGTGTGGTTAGGTGTAAGTTACATTGTGTGAGGTTACATTAGTTGTAGTACATAAACCGACAACTGGTTAATACGAGCTATTTGGTTTTCTATCTGGTACAATACCTTTGTGAAAAATTATACCAGTGCAAGTTTTTGGAAGATGTAATTTGCTACTCATTATACCTGACAATATTATTCCAATGGTTTCCTTAATCATCTGCAGTGAATTTCTAGAACCAGAAAAGGACAAACTATTTGGGTAGTCTAGAGGTATATAATAATTTTCCAGTGTGTGATGATGTTGATGGTGGTGGTGGTGGTGCTGGTGATGATGATGATCTTTATTACGGTCACTGACCAGTGATATCCAAATGTAGCTATAATACATAAATACAATGAAAAGTAGCATAAGGTAGCAATAATAATATCACATGTACACAATCTGTTACAATATAACTAAATTAGATGGAGCCTCCTTATTTCACTGGACTGAGGAGTTCAGTAAATAAATTAAGTAAACTCTGTACCACCTCCTGTCTCATCGTCTTAAGTAGTGTAGCATATAGAATATAGGGTGTGCAATAAGATACATCTTAATTTGCGGTTTTCCATAAATTAAATGTTCTGGTTCTGTGAGCCCAGAACTAAGCAGAAATGTACTTTTTAAAAATCTCTGAAAACAACTGGTATTCCTAAACTTAGCAGTATTTCTTTATACGAGTGCAAACATACCATCATGATTTAATTAAGGATTAATTGGCAATTGTCTTTGACTTCATTTCTTTACCATTACAACTATCAGGCAATACAAAGAAAACAATGAAAAAAATTCACTAAGCACAACAAAAGTGTAGAGTAACACAATACATTCCTTTTCATACAAGTGGAATGAGGATCCACCTTATATATATTGTGTCATGTATTGTGGAAAGTCTTGTGCCATCTGGCCTTCACTTTTAGACAGCTGTTAAGGATTGTTGACTACTTAACAGCAACAGAAGTTGTTAAACAGGCATAATTCAAAATTACACCCTCAGTAGCTCTAATCCTGCTGAGGTGGAATGGCTATCCACAAAGCACATCCACCCTCACAATGCACAATCGATCAAAAGAGAACATGTCCAAGTGACTGTGCAGTTGACATAATCAATCCTTTTTGCCACAGTGGAATGCTCAACACATTTGTGATGCCATAATATTACAGTACACTGGGATGGACAGGGTTCCAAACAATATATTGGCTAATTAATGAAGTACAAGTCAATCTGTGGCAAGCATTTACAAAATGGAGGTGATGATAGTGGGGAACCCCATAATTGCAGGGGAGGGGTGGTGTTTATATAAAATTGCAGGGGAGGGGTGGTGTGTGTGTGTGTGTGTGTGTGTGCGCACACACACACACACACACACCCCACCCCTCCCCTGCATTTATACGATACAGGTAGTTAGATATAGATATAGATATAGATATCCCTGCTTGTCATTCTGGCTTTTATATATCTTTTCATTTTCTTAAATTTTCCCCATTAGCAACTATATTGAACTAAAACTATATCATGGAACATCTTGTGATAAAGCATCACACTTGCCAAAGTAATTAATATAACCATGGAAGGAATGAAGCACAATGCTTATTCTTCACTCAATTGTTTTTTCTTCCAACCTCAATTTAATTTCAGGATGAATGCAGCAAATTCCCCAAACCTATAGCAGGCTGCACAAAGGAATACAGACCAGTCTGTGGTACTAATGGTGTGACATACGACAATATATGCCTGCTTTGTTTAGCAAGACAGTAAGTGGACTATTCACAGTACTTGTTGCCAACAATACAGTCACTAAGAATGTTTCGGAAAATCTGCACTTCGTGTACTGTCAATTAATTTACATGGGAAGAATATCGATGTGAGAATACCAAGGAGGCCTGCATGAAATAATTTGACAAATACAGGGGTTTGGCCAAATTTTCCTCAAAGCTGATTCCTCTCCTCTTATGAAACATTATACTGGAAGGTCCCTGACCTTGGAGGTACATTGTTGGGGGGGGCACTTAACACCATTTCAGCCTTTGCAATGGGAACCACTGTATACACCAATGCAGTCCCATTTGTGTGTATTGAGAGCAGAACATTTGTGTTTCTATCATGATGCTGTAACATGTGCTAACTTGAAAGCTATCATAATTTTATCTTCTCCTCATCTTTCAAGGGAGACAGGGAAAAACATTCGTATAGCTCATGAAGGCAAATGCAAGGAAAAGGTAAGTGTGCAACCGTCTGTCCCATTCACAAAGATGATGTGCACTCAGAGGCACACATTCTTTGAAACAGTGAAAAGAGATGCAGTTTGTGTTTTGAGTGATGCCTTTCTTTGATTCAACAGGATGAGTGTAGTCAATACACTGACCCACAGGCATGCACAAAGGAGTATAAACCAGTCTGTGGCAGCGATGGAGTGACATACAACAACAAATGTCTTTTCTGTTGTGCCAAAAAGTGAGTGAGCATATGACTTACATATGGAAATGATGGTACTCAAGCACCATTGCCGACAGCTGTTGGCTAAAGTAAAGCACACAATTCATTTATTTCAAATAATTTATCACTTGTACATCCTGCCTCCTCTTAAGAAGGCACCCTGCAGTAATGAGTTGATATATCTTTATGTGCTGTAATTAAAATGTCCATAAGAGTTGAAGACTGAGTGTTAAGTTCATATTCCTTAGTCTCTTGAAATGAAACTCTTTTTATTTTCGTTTTTTTCAGGGAAAAGGGTGGCAAGTTGACCATCAAACATAAAGGGGAATGTAAGCCAAAGGTAAAACCCCCATTTCTGATATAATTCCCTGCATGTAGATGCAACCTTTCTTACTACAGGCCTAAAGACTTGTTTAGTCGTGGAATTTGTGCTTTGTAGCAAAAGAAAAACCCATGAAAGAGGCTCATTTTCGTACTTTCATAGTGTTTCATTGATTCCCCCTCCCAAAAAAACTTCTTAAAAACTAATGATTGGTTTTAACAAATTTTGTGTCTTTTTTTTGTTTTCCCTCTTTCCTTTTTCCTAGCATCTGTAAAAATGCCAGAGAAATGTTTCATCCAATAACAATGTGTGGGCTGCTATCAGAAGCCAATTAGAATGTCCAGGACTTAGGACTGGGAAGTTTGAAGCTATAAAAGGGCCCAGATTGGTTGGAACTGAGTGGGGCTGGCCTTTGTCTGTTTCACTCCCATTAACTGTGGATGTGTGAGCTCCTGTCTCCTTTCATCTTGTGCTGCTTCCCTTTGCCTCTATGAGTGCTTTCTTTTTCCTTCGTTTCACTATGGTATGAGGGATATCTCCTATGGGATTATTTTTGCTGTCTATCTGCTGTTTCGATTTACCCCAAAAGGAGAAGAGAAGGAAGACATCAGGTGGTGGATGAGGATAATTTTTCCCATATTCTAGTCACCTTGGGTTGGCGGGGGTTTTGATTGTTGATTTTCTTTATTTGCTTGCCTATGGATGGTGTTTTCCTTTTTTCATACATTTTTAAAACAATTGTTATTAGGTTAATATACTATGTATTCATTAAGAGTGTATATTTTGGTAGATTTGGGAGTGGGGGTCTGTTTCATTTATTTATTTCCTTCTGCTGAAGTTTGTGGATTTAAGAGGTAGACTTCATGCAGCTGTGTCATTAGGCTGTGTGGGTGCCTGCTTGCATAGGCCTGAGATTCTGAGGAAGTTTATTCTTTTTCATGTAGCTGCTTTGGGGGTAGATTGATTCTCTTTTACCTTCTTCCTGCTCTTTTGGATTATTTTTCAGAGAACTCTTGCCTGCTTTTTCATGGAATGGTTTCTATTGTTTTGTTCCTGTTTCTTTCAAATAGTTTTAAAGGGTTTTTAAAAAGGCTCTTGGTCTGCTAGAACCAGAAAAAATAAATGGGAAAAAGCAAGCAAACAAAAAAACCCTAAAGAGGTGCTCACATGTTTAACAGAAGGACTGGTGGGTGAAACAGACAAAAAGGATAGAGACATTCTGCAAAAGAAAGAAAAACAAAATGAAACTTTTTACCATGCAAATCCCTGGTCTTCATGCAGAAAGGTGCATTACAATAAGTAAGTCTGGAAAGGTAATTCCATCTACCTTTAAAAGGAAAGCATGGATCAGAATTTGTAGAAATTGCACCAGTACACTTGAGTTTTCATGGCATCAAAATGCTTTACAGCCCTAGGCTCTTTCCACCCTGGGGGCAGCATATTTTAACTTGTGTAGTGGAAGAGGTTTGCTGCTCTTCCTGAAGCTGCAATAGGATTTTGGGCAGATTCCAAAATGGGCTAGAAAAAAATCACAAGAACGGGATAAAATATAGGAGGCCCCATGGAAATGAGATGTGACAGAGTGAAGCAGCGACCATACACCTGGGAGATTAGGGAGCTGTGTATGGCTTTTCAGCGAAGGCTCCATTTGGGTGAAAGCATCTCCTGTGAACAGCACTTCTAGAGAAATCATGACCAAATCATACACTAAGAGTCAACCTGCCAAATTTCAGAGAGCTCATTACTGGTGCTGGCATGTTTTGTTGTTATTTAGTTGTTAACTTCATGACCCCTTGGACCAGAGCACGGCAGGCCCTCCTGTCTTCCACTGCCTCCCAGAGTTCGATCAAATTAATGTTGGTAGCTTTGATGACACTGTCCAACCATCTTGTGCTCTGTCATCCGCTTCTCCTCTTGCCTTCACACTTTCCCAACATCAAGGTCTTTTCGAAGGAGTCTTCTCATGAGATGGCCAAAGTATTGCAGCCTCAGCTTCAGGTTCTGTCCTTCCCGTGAGCACTCAGGGTTGATTTCCTTCAGAATGGAAAGCCGAGAGGAAATTGTTTCCCGTCTGATTCAAGCTGTCCTCTTGAAATTCATTTCTAAATGTTTTTCATTTCATACTGGAACCGAATCTGCCCATCATGCTTTGATCTAAACCTTTTATAAATCAGTTGGAACCAGGCCAATCCACTTCAGATCTGGGATTTGTCTCAATCCACTGCACAGACCTATTATGAACATCATATACTGTATTTTAAGAATATACAAGCACACAAACATTTTTCGCAAGGGTCTAATAATGTGAACTAAGTTCAAGTTTATTGTATTGGCTAAAAGCCATCACAATTGTTTAAAATACAAATATGATCAAGTAAAATCATGATAAAATCACATAATAAGAGACCCTTCATATCTGGGAGTCTCCCACATAATTGATCATAATGGTTCTCAGGAAATTAGCACAAATGTTTTTGTCCACTTTTGCAAACAGTACTGTTTTTGTATGTAACATATGGGTCACAGTGCAAAATAACCTGACCACCTTTATTTGAGGGTTTTCCTCCTGTAGGGCAGCCAAAAGTTTACCCAGGAACTTTTCTCTGGGGTTTTGATGGAGCTAACAGTTGAATAAATGGTGGACACCATCCTCTATCTCACCTGCTCCGCTAATACATAGCCTTAGATGCTTAGGGACATTCATGTACCTGCCGTCTAAGACAGCAGGTCTAATACAGTAATGTGTGACAGAAAATTGAGGTATAATGAATTCAGGCAGTACCTTCTGTTTAGGTTAATAGCACACAAGACTCTATGACAGTTACCAACTGACATCTCACAATTCTGATATAAAGAAGGGCCACTGCAAAACTTATGTAGTAGTTCCTACATATGTAGGAACACACAATGCAGTCTTCTCCTGAGTCTGATGATAGGTCCATGAAGGCCAATTGTCAATTTGGACTGGCGATAATGAATCTTTAAGGTTGAGGCTGGATTCTCTCCCAGTTCTTCCAAGAGCTCCCTAGTATTTCCTGCTTGTTTCCTCCCTGAGTAGCAGTAAGGTCCAGTCCTGCTTAGCTTGTGAAACCAAATGAGACTGGTATGTTAGGATGGCTCATGTGGCAGCTTGGGAGATTTTCTGGGTATATTCTAGAAAATCCAAACAGACCCTCAAAGAGTTCCTGAAACACCTCCATCATCAATGTTGACATTTGTTAGTGTCCAGCACCTACAAAAGGGTATAGAGATGTTTTAAATTTTAGAAGGAAAAAAACCCTCATGAAATTGTCTTGGGAGGAAATAGCTATTTTTCTATATCCTTTGGCTTTCTAGGAATTGGAATTGGGAGGTACTTGCATAACACAATGGATGCCTCTTGAATTTAGTTTAAAATGTAGGTTTTTAAATGTATTTTTCTCACTCTCAATATGACTTTTCCCCCCAGGTTGATGGGTGGCCATTTTAGGAACCATTCTATACTTTTCTTTTCAGGATGAATGCAGTAAATACCCAGAGCCATCGGATGGAAAGCCTGCCCCTTGCACATATGAGCTTGCTCCAGTCTGTGGCAGCGATTGAGTGACATACCCAAATGAGTGTGCATTTTGTGTTGCTAAAAGGTGGGCATATGACCTAACAGTGTGTTTAAAGAGAGAGAGAGAGAGAAAGAAAATCTCAAGCAAATTGTGACCTATCATATTCCATTTCCCCCCTGGCAGATAGCAACAAGTATATTTTCTGTACTGTCAAAAACTGGGCATATCACCAAAAAGATTTATTGGGGTATCTTTTACTGCTCATAAATCGAACCTTATTTTAAAGATTTAAAACAATGCATCAGATGCTGGATGTTCAGTCTGTCCAACAAATGATAAGGTGAAAACATGCATTGCAAACCTATTGTACACTTTTAAAATGCATTAATTTATCACATTTCTCCCCCAGGCAAAGTGGAAAGAACATTAAAATAAAACACCGAGGTGAATGCAAGAAAAAGGTAAATCCACTACTTATATCATTCTTTGTTAAAGACATAATTGTTCTTAGCCGAGGCCCTGGATCCTCATGCAAAGATTGGATAAAATATAGGAGAACCCCATGGGTGCGAGGTGGTGTGGAGTGAAGCAGCTTTAAGCTAATGGGGGGCATGTATATCTGTACCCAGCTTTACAGGGAGCAGCAGTTGGGTGTAAGCATCTCATGTGAACAACACTTTTAGGTAAATCAAGACCAAATTACACATTCAGGGAAATGGGTGTTTCCAATTATTTTTCCTAGACACACCAAACCTTCAAAGCTCCCTGCCAAAGCAAATAAGTCTGCAAATGAAGACTGTTTTTACATCCCAGCAGCCAATCACAAAATAAAGGAAAGTTAATTTGCAACATGACGGATGACTTTTTTCCCCAAGTTGGTGGGTGGACATTTTAGGAACCAGTCTATACTTTTCTTTTCAGGATGAATGCAGTAAATACCCAGAGCCATCCGATGGAAAGCTTGTCGCTTGCACACTTGAGCATGCTCCAGTCTGTGGCAGTGATGGAGTGACGTACCCAAATGAGTGTGCTTTTTGTGCTGCCAAAAGGTGGGCATATGACCTAACAGTGCCTTTAAAGAGAGAGAAAAATGAAAATCTTGAGCAAATTGTGGCTTATCAGATTCCATTTCCCTCCTGGCATATAGCAACATGTGTGTTTTCTGTGCTGCTAAAAGGTGAGTACGCTTGTGTAGACCTACATGGAGAAATGAAGCATTATCTACAACTGGTGGCAAAAGTAAAGCACATTATTCATCTATTTCACATAATATATCATATTTACATCTTGCATCTTCTTACATGAAGGTAAAGGTAAAGGTTCCCCTTGACATTTAGTCCAGTCATGTCTAACTCTAGGGGGTGGTGCTGATCCCCATTTTCAAGCCAGTGTTTTTGTCCGTAGACAGTTTCCGTGGTCACGTGGCCAGCGTGACTGGACATGGAACACCGTTGCCTTTCCACCGCGGTGGTACCTATTTATCTGCTCACATTTTTACATGCTTTTGAACTGCTAGGTTGGCAGGAGCTGAGACAAGCGACAGGAGCTCACTCCATCATGTGGATTCGATCTTATGACTGCTGGTCTTCTGACCTTGCAGCACAGAGGCTTCTGCAGTTTAACCCACGTCCCTTCTTATATGAAAGAGACTTGTAAAAAGGCAGTCTGAAGTAAGATGTTGATACACCTTAAGATGCTACAGTGGAAATAACATCACATGTGAGGAGTGAATGCTGTGTTCATATCTCTGGACTCTTTAAATTAAACCTTCCTTTCTTTATTTTTCCCCCCAGGGAAAAGGGAGGCAAATTAACCATCATTCATAAAGGGGAATGTGATCAAAAGGTAAATCCAGTTCTCATATAATTGCATGTTTTATGCACAACCTTTCTTATTACAGGTCTCAGGTCTTTGTGCAGAAAGCTACATTACAGACTTTGGTCTCCTTAAGGTTCCCCTTTTGCTCTAGGGAAGCATTTGGAAGCCTTGTATGCGGAGAACCTTCATTTGGTAAAAATCACCACTAGAACACTGTAGAGATTGGCCAGCTATTTTTGTGGGTAAAAGTTTCCAACCCTTATCCAAGGTTTTCTCAGGGCAAAAGGGGCCTCAGGATCTAAAATAAGGAGACTGAAGCTTTTAATTTAATAATATCATGCATTATTCAGTTGATGTTACAGTATTTATCAACCATGTTTAAGCCAGAGCCAAAAACAGCTATACCTCTGAGGCAGTTAGACATTAATATAACCCAGAATTCCTCAGAAGTACCAAGTTGGTGGGGGGGAGAGACCATAAAGACTTTTTAGTTCCTGAAACAAGCAATTTCTCCCACCCTTGATTCTCCCATTCCAGGGCAATTCTTAAGGTTCCAACAAAGGAAGTGGCAGGGTGATGTTCAGCCTCTTCGCCACCTTTGGACTGATCCTGCAACACCAAGAGGGGTTGTGTCTTGGTCCCCTTGAATTCATATTACTTTAATTACCGTACTTGACTTTAATTACTTTAATGGGTTCTCCAGAATGGTTGTCCAACCAAGTGGAGTCAGTCTTTACATAAAGCATGCTGGGGTATATGTGCCCAAAGTGAAATAGCTACAGTGAACGCAACAAAAGATTTTGAGGCACTTGAAAAACAATTAACATTTATTATGAAACAAGCTTCCTTGGAATCTGTTCCCTTCAACAGACATGATAGGGAAACTAACAGTGTATATCTGTTTACTCTACCCGAATCACCTGACATAGCCAGCAGGGATGGCTGAGGGGCCTAACGCTGAGAGAGGCCCGGAAAGAAAGAACAAGAAGCCGGGCCTTCTCGGCAGTGGCCTCTTGGCTCTGGAACAGCCTCCTGACAGAAATTCGTTTGGCACCCTCGCTGGATGTTTTTAAAAGCCATTTAATAACATGGCTTTTCAGGCAGGCCTTCGCTCCAGTCAATGAAACTGACCTTTACTTTTTCTTTTAATCACTCCATCTTGGCAAGGATTTATATAATAGTTAAAAATTTTGATGTTTTAAATGTTTTTAGGATGTTGTTTTGCTATGTTTTATGTATGTAAGCCACCCCGAGTAGACTTTGTCTGGGGGGGGAGGGTAAAAATCCAATAAAAGTATTTAAAAAGTATAAAAATATTCACTACTTAATTTATCTATTCAGACTAAAAAGCAGGGAGAAGCTGACTAAGGAAAGAATATTTTGATAAAGAAGAAACCTGGAAGAGAGGTATGTGTGTACCATATACAGTAGTTCTCATTGCAAAGTCATACCTAATAAACTGTCTCTCAGCTCTAAATTTATAAAGGTAATGTGACAGCGGTAGGAAAATATTTTTGCTGAATACTGCATGCCCTCAGGGGATCATGCTTGGGCCCATCAGGATAGGTTGAGTCCAGAATCAATAGTGGGTAAGGGCCCCATTTCTCTCTCCCTCTCTCTCTTCTTCCTCCCCTCACCCAAAGAGCTAGAAACGCAACTGACTCTTTGCAGGTAGCTTTTCGAAATGAGGCCAAAGGCCACATGTTGCTCTCTCCACTCAATGCATTCCCACATCTTTGTTTCAACCTTTTCTCTTGCCTTATCTGTCACTTAGTTTGCTATGAGAGAAACAAACAATTTTAAAATTCTCCACAACTTATTGAACTGTAGGTTTTTGTAGGGTGCATGTATCTGTAGCCCTTCAATGTTTGATAAAGCGGCCTCTGACAAAGAGGAAGTATATTACCAAAAGGGAGAACAACAACAAAACACCAGTGATTTGCATAAAAAAGATGTGTGCTAATGTATAGATATAAATACAAAATTAGAAATGATTGGCTAGAATTGTATTAATTTTATCATAAGTCCGACAGCAGAATTCTGGGCAGTGAATATTGTATTTCTCAGATACACCAAGTCACACAACTGGTGTGTGACAAGAAAGATAAGTGCCAACCAGTTAACAAGTGCCAATTTGCTGTTGAGATACATGCCACTGAACTTAGCTGATAGGTATAAGAAATAAGATTCTTGCCTTTATGTGTCATTTAGCCACAATTAGTAAGCATCTCATGGGAGCTGAGAATCCCATCACCAGGTGATCTGTTTGTTTGCTGAATCTTCTATCCTGGTGATAACTATACATAGGCAAACAAAGCCCTGGTCTACTTTCTTATGGTATTTGCCTTTAAACCAGACTTGATCTGGACATGCCTTCCAACAGAGGATATCTTCAAAAGCAGAGTTGTCTTTTGATGGTGTTTCAAATGGAAGACTGTCATTTGTAAAAGAAGACATGCGGCCACCATAATGTTAGAGCATTCAAACTAGATGTGGAAATTAGATATCATACCCTCGGCAGCAGCAAAGGCTGCATTTTTAGTTCAACTCATTTCAAGGAACAAAAAAGGAGGAACATCAACCATTGTAACCTACATTTTGTCTAAGTGAAAATTATATCATGCACAATATTTGCTTTAAAGCATATGAACTGAGTAGGTTTCCTTGCTTTCTCCAATGTATAATTGCTGCCTTTCATTTCAACTTATTTAGTACTGTGCTTGGTTTACAAGTACTGTTTCTTTTCCTCCAAATTTTGATTTTGACAAGTGAGAACAGACCTCTCTCTCCTGCATTCCCTTATATCCTTCCCTCACAACGTGACAAAGGTCAACTTGTGAATTTTTGATTTCTGACAAACCATAGTTTCCTGCTCTACATCCAAACTCTGGCTTGCACTATCCCATAGAAATCATGATTTGCATTTAGCTTGGATGGCTAGTGTGGATCCTACAGAGTAGAAATGTGGCTTACATTTTTACTTCAGATGTCATGGAATGGTAGGATTTTCTACAAAGCGGGATGCCTTAAGCAAATATGGAGAGTCAGCATTGGGAAGTGGAGGCACTTCTAATACAAACTATAGGTTGGAGGATCAGACTGCTTTCCTGTGGCCTATTCTCAGAGACAGGATAATGCTATCTTTCTTTTCTTTTCAGTTTCCAAGGACAAATGAAGAAAGATTTAGTCCCAAGCAGAAACAAATGATGTTAATCAGAAGACCAATATTATTATGATGTTCTGAAGATGTCTGTATCTTCATTTTCAAGTATAATGCAGATTTCTTGATTTGCTGAGAGAATATAGCAAATTGAATTAATTTTTGTTTGTTTGTTTTGTTTTTGTCTTATCATTACAAACTTCATATGGTACTTTGACAATGAATCATTTCAGGAAAGGACTATTTTTATCCTTGCTTGTGTATGAAGCTCAATTCATCTGACATTAGGATAGGCTTAAATTCCTTGGATCACTATGCTTGAAAAATGCCATCTGGTTCTAAGAACCAGGCAATTAGTTAGTAATTAGACTACTGGCAAAATGCTAGCTTCAAAATGAAGGAGTGAGTGTGCACAATATCATGTTGCTAAGATCTGCTCCGATAGAGATAGAATGTAAAAAAGGAGGAGTATTTCAACAAGTGAGCATATTGTGCATATTTATCCCAATTTTTTTCCTTAGATCTGTTTAACACATTAAAAGTTGAGATTCCCCAAACTTACTTATACTTATATATACTGTATATAAATTAAATGCATAGTATAAATAAAAATCCTGAGATCTTACTTTATAATTTGACTTGCCATGTATTTTATGCAGAAAAAAACAAAAACAAAACAAGGTTTAGGAAGAAACTGAGAATGGAGTTAAAACAAATTCTGCATACTTTCAGTACAGAAGAATTTCTCTTGGAACAGTAAAACAGAATAAATCACCTCCCACTATATCTTGAACTGTCTTCTCCTAGAATCAATTAGTACTTCTACTATATAAATGTATGCTCACATTAGAGAGAGTAATCATGCTCTAAAATTAAGAAAACAAAGAACATCTGAGCAAGTGATAGTCATCACTATCTTCCACTACTACTCAATGCCATCCACTAGTCCTCAAGATATATTCCTTGTCGAATCACATCTCATGCCAATGTGCCACCTAAGGAATGGTTTGGAGGACTTTTACCCCCTGTTTTGTTTAATGGTACAAGGCAGTGGTTCCCAACTTTGGGTCCTCAGATGTTTTTGGACTAAAACTTTGAGAAACTGCAGTACAAGAACATCTGGGAACCACTGGTGTAAGATATACTGCACCACTGAGGTCAGAACAAGGTGGAAGTATCCACTTTTCACTGTATCAGGAAGGTCTCAGACATAGCCAAGAGGTCTCACTGGACATCCTTCTACTTGTCCTTTTGCTTCACTGCTATTTCCAGTCAAACTCCTTGGCCAGCTCCTTCTTTGACATTAAATGTGGCTTCACAAAATGTACACATGCCACACGCTTTCCTCTCCTTCTAACACAATGCCAATATTTTCTGCCACTGCATTGCTGGAACAATATAGTGCTCTAAAATGTCACCGTCATCATGGCTCCACTGGGGTATTTGCTCATTTCAGTTTCAGCAGGTCATGTTCTAAGACCAAGGCTTAAGACCATGCTATAGAGCATGATTGCTCCATAACAGCAGCAAGCTTCCAAGTGGCTGAGAGTTCATCTTGTTGACTCTCATTGAAAATAATAGTGGCACTAATTCATCAGAGATCTTCATCAGGTACCATACAGTACGTACTGTGATCTTTTCCTTGCGATTGATGACGTTCCACTTATTCCTCGTTGCTATTTTTGTTTACTCAGATACTTGTAACCACTGATTCACTTCATCTGGTTAATTGATTCTGTCTCATTGAAAATAATAGTGGCACTAATTCATCAGAGATCTTCATCAGGTACCATACAGTACGTACTGTGATCTTTTCCACTTATTCCTCGTTGCTATTTTAGTTTACTCAGATACGTGTAACCAATGCTTCACTTCATCTGGTTAATTGATTCTCAATTATTAATGGGTTAACAAAGCAGTCCTATAAACTTTCTTATCACTATTTGTGTGAAAGAAAATGAACTTTTACTTGTAATTAGCTTTCTTGCCACACTTCCAAATCCAGGTTTACATAATTAAGTCACATTGCAGGACCACGCCACCAAGAACACAATGACAGCAAAGAGTTTGATAAAAAGGTTTCCCATCCCATTGTTTGAACCCATTGTTGACAGCCACTGATGTAAGCAATAGACAGGTGTGGCTCAACACACAGAAGGCCACCCCATCAATATAATATGACTTTGATGCTTCACAAGGCAATACTGGAGAAGGACAAGGTGAGGCTTAATTGCTGATCCCAGCTATTCCATCCTCCCATCTGGATCTAGACCTGAAAGACTAAGGCAAAGTATGGGTGCATTGAGGGTAACTTGTAAGCAAGGACAAATTGTGACATTCCTGGTGACTGGATATGTATCTTATAGCATCTAGTTTTCTTTTAGCTTCTAGTTTTAGCATCTTTTAGCTTCTAGTTTTCTGGCTTAAAGACATGTGAGCCAACATAAGATAGCCTTAACTTTGGTTTTAAAGCAGCAGATTTATATATATATATATAACTTTGGTTTTAAAGCAGCAGATTTATATATATAATTATATGTAATATATATAATTGAATATACACAAATTCTTTATAAGAAAAGAGTCTTATGTAAGTAAAACAGCACTGCCCACATGGACAAGGACAGAGAAGACATACAGAAATGGGAAAACCATAAGGTTTGCAGAATTATTTAAAAAAAACTTTTAAAGCAGAGAAATACTATGTAAAGCATAGGCTTTACATGATATACAATGGTTGTTAATAATATAATTGTAGTTCTACGTGTACTTAAAAAAAACACCCTATTGTTAAATTATTCGCTTTGAAACATATTAGCATTTGGGCTCCCTTACGTCTGCCCCGGACAAAACAACGTAAGCCATTGTTCAAGCTCACTGATTGATATTACATCATGTGATTGATACTATAGATATGAAGTGCTATAAGTGATTGCTCTCAGTATGTTCTTGGGCAGAACGGTCACTGGCTGGATCCTTGGAGAACAAAGAAACTGTCCCCCGTTAACCATGAAGATAACAATCCTCTTTGAGATACTTTGTCTGGCAAACTGTTACTCCTTATTAGGTAAGCACTGTGGTTTGATTTTCAAATCTTCTTAAGCAAGGACCCCTTAGAATAGTTTTTGCTCTATCCAACAAAATGAAAACCACTTTTTCGCAGCAGATTAAATAATGGCCAAAATCCTGTTGCCTAGTGTAGTCAATCACATTGAGTCAGTGGGGATTTTGCACATCACCTCCTCCATAAATTCCATAGATTCAAATGGGCCTACTCTAGATGTCACTTACTTTAGCATAGAAAGTCAGTTAGAACTAATGGAACTAATGGAAATGCTCACTAAACTGCCATTGATTCAATTGCCCTACTCAAGTGTGACTTACTAAATAACAGGATTTTGCCCAATGTGTTTTTCGACCACATTGAGACATACACACCAGGCAGTTGATACACCACTGTCTTCCTTGACACATGAATCTGTAAGTTGGAGAATGGAAATGCAAGGGACCTAATTATATATCAGCCTTCAGACATGAGGCTAAATCCAAACTGAGTCACAGTTACAGTAGGCCTATGGAAATCAGGGAGATTTCACTTTAAAATGGCAATTCTTCCTTATTGTTTTTTCTTCTTCTTCTGAGACAATGTTTCTGTCATGCCTCTGGGAATTGCAAATTATCTTGTTTCTGTTTTGTAACTGGTCATCAGTAAATGAGCACAGAATCTATTTGATTTTGTGATAACAAAAGCTTTGAAGTACTGTGTATTTGGAAGAATTGTTTTAGCCCCTTGAAATTGTGAACTGGGTGTCTCATCTATTTCTCCCTTAACTCTGGATCCAAATAATTGACTCCAGTATCTTTTGCTTTGGTGGGAGTATTTCCTGAACACAGTGAAACTTAAAAAGCTTCCAAAGGTCGCAGAAAGAAAGTTAATCTTTGCCAGTCCCCCTCCCTCTCCACATGGAGCCCATGTCTGGAGTACATTTGCCAGGGGTGCAAAAGCAGGAAGCAGGAAACCATGAAAATGGATTCCAGCCTCATTGCACCCATGGAAATGTGACAAATAATATGAGAATGCCTTTACATGTATAGTCCTGCCCACCAACTGTACAAAACAGGTAGCCACTGAAAAGACTCACCAGAACAAACCTGGTGAGCTGAAGTTAACTTTTCCAAGATCTTGTTACTAATATCAGGTACCAATACTGTGGCAAATATTGTTGGGGATATTTAGTTTTGCTTTACAACTTTCTAGTAGCAGCTGTGGTAACAAAGCAATAGTTCCACAGTACCATCAGAGTACATTATACTTTATAAAGCAACTACTGGGAAAAGCATAGGCCTGCCACAAGTATCTTAGATTCTGAATTAAAAGTTGTGTGCCATCAGATCAATTCTGCTTTATGGCAACTCTTTTCAGGGTTTCCTAGATAGAGAATGCAGAAATGATTCACCATTCCTTTCTTCTGAGATATTCTGGGACTGTAGATGGCTCTTCTCCCATGAGGCACAGTGGGTAATCAAACTGCCAACTTGTGGCTCCACTGAGCCATCCATCTAGTTCAGAAACTTCATCACCACTTCAGAATTCTTAGCAGAACCATCTTGTCTCATCAGAAATTATCTTGGAAAATGTGAAAGAATGCTAATATTCTATTTAGCCAGTTAAATTACCTCATGTACATACCATCTTTTCCAGAGGATTAACCACTGCGCCACGAGGCTCTTGATTTAGCCAGTTAAATTACTTCATGTACATGCCATCTTTTCCAGAGGATTGGTGTGTGTTGTGGGGGGATACTTTTCAGGGCTCAGCTACAGTGGCCAGGGAAAACTGGAAGCTGTATTCCAAAAAAGGATTTATATTTCAAATGTTGATCCTTTTTGCCACCAGAGCAGTCACGGTGATTTATGTTTCCTAATAACAGCTGAGACATGGGGCAAAAGAAAAGAAGGAAATGAAAAAGAAGACAATAGCAAGCACATTTAGGTACCAGCTTTTTCACAGGGTACGAATTACTTACATAAGTAGCAGGTGGTGTAGTTCTGGGAGAGAAACAACCAACTATAACTGGTCCTAGATGAGCAGATGGAGAGGCATTAACTGTCTCATCTCTCCTTTTGTTGAAGCTGAGTCAACTGAGTCCTCAAGGAGATCATTCCTAGGGAAGGAGACACACCAAATGCCAGTTGGTGCTAGGTGGGTCTCACCTCTCTCTCAGATACAGCCAAGAGAAGGACACCACACACAAAACATGAATCATAAGAACGTAAGAAATGTCCTGTTGGATCAGGCCAAGGGCCTATCTAGTCCAGCTTCCTGTATCTTACAGTAGCCCTACCAGATGCATTTTTAGAACAATTAATGTTTGTTTGTAATGGCCAGAAAAAGACCAATGGCAAAAAGCTACTGTATTTTTCGCACCATAAGACCCACTTTTTCCACACAAAACAGGGGGGTGGAAAGTCTGTGCATCTTATGGAGCGAAGAAAACAGATTATATTTTCCTGTTTTCTTCTCCTAAAAAATTGGTGCGTCTTATGGAAAGGTGCGTCTTATGGAGCGAAAAATAGGTAACTGTAAAGTTGTTTCCAATTTTTGTTAAAATGTTTTTAGCTTTAGTTATTGTTCAGAACTCAAGAATCAATACAATTTAATATATGTTTGCTTGAACACATCTAGTTACTGGAAAATAATGGTTTCTCAAATTGTTTTTCAGATGCTAAATCTTCAATCAAGGTCAGTTAATGAGTTTGTTAATAACATATTTTTCATGTTAGATTGTATCCACATGCTGTATATCAGAAATGAAAGTAATTATGTTACAGGGAAACTGAAACTGAATTATTTTGAATTATGGAAACTATTTCAACTACTGTGAGTTTCCCCCTGCTTTAAACTTCAGATGCTGCTAAAACAAATACCAATGCATAGCAGGGGAACAGAAATTCTCCCCTTGTAATTTCAGACTATCAAATGTTGTCACATTAGGTCGCTGAGCACAACATTAAACATTTCATTTTTTTCTGTGTGTGTTTGTAAAAAATGTAAAATGGGAGAAAACCTGATCAAATACATACCCAGATGACTGTGGAAGGAAGGCAGACAATTTTGAAGAAGTTGGCTGGTTTTTGAAGAATGCAAAAAACTACAAGATTGAAAGAAGAGCAGGAAAGTTCCGCTACCAGAGCACTGGATTTAGCCTAAAGTGCAATCCTATACATTCTATCTTTACCTAGAAGTAAATGTACTGGCAACTTTGTGGATAGCATTTCCACATCAGCGCTATCATAGCTGTTGTGGGTGCAAAATCAATTGTGGCCACATAGTTACACAATAGGATTTTGACTATTCTACATAATAAATAAATGATAAAAATCGAAGTTACCTGGTGGGTGTACATTTGGAATGTCTAGTCTTTCTATTCTTACTTCAGATTCTCTTCTCTCCTCAGGCTAAGTTTGGCATTTCGTCTCATTGGTCACATTATACCCCGATTATGGCCATGCCACATCATGGCCATTTCATCCATTATCCAGTCTGGAATCCTATCATCCGTTTATCACAAAAGTAAGTCACTAGCCATTACAGAATAAGTCAAGAGGCAAAATGGAGTATTTTAGTCAGCAGCATAGTGACAGCCAAGATCCCCTCCTTCTGCAAGTCTAGGAAGTCACAATCATTTAAGAGTAATCTATGGAGGAAGTAGCACAACATCCTTAAAGGTAAGGAAACACCGTACACTTAAAAATATAGATATCCATTTTCTCAAGACACTTAGTTCTCTGAGACACAGAAGCAAATTTGACCCATCCTATTTGATCCATCCTTTCCCAAGTTACAAATAAATAAATAAATAAATAAATCCCTGCCCCCCTCCCCACCAAGGCAAAAAGAAAAGATAAAGAAAATAAAAGCCCCTCCCTGATTCACTAAGAGCCCAGAGTGAGGTCCAGTGACCAGTGGTCATGAAGCCAATCTATCCATGGCTTCAGTGGTGGCCTGGCAGCTTCCTAGCAGTCACTATGGTGGTATTGCCATATTTTCTGCTAATGCCAAAATTGGAAAACTGGTTGGCCAGTAGGTGGTGTTTCCTGGAGATGGACAGTAATGAGGAAGTTTTCACTTTGGTCTAGTTGGGGAATATATCTGCTACTCACTCTGATTTCAGATTGCACTCATTCTTCCATTCCTTTCTTTGATGAATTGGGGATAAACAGTTTCTTGAAAGGTAACAGGGATATATGCACTTTGTTAGTAACATCAAGCCATTGTCTACACCTTGGTTTTAACTGTCAACAAATAATCTTCATTGCAGCGTTCTTGGGGAATGTATTTATTATTATTAGGATGGTTGGTTGCATGGGACTGAATCCTGTCACGGGGATAGAGGCAGGTGGACCTTCCCCTTTTCCAAGTTGTGGATCACAGTTAGGAGTCTTGGAGTGGAGGCTAGCAGGCACATGCCCAGCTTAAGTGGGATGTCTTGGTCCTCCCAAGATGGCAGTGGGTGTCTTCAGTGGTCTTGAACATGGGAGGGAGGTCTCATCGGCTGACAAGTGCATCACCCGAGGCCTGTATCTGGTGCCCTATACTGTGGCACCTTACTTTGCTGCTGTAATCAATACATTTATGTATGTATTTATTTATTTAAAATATTTTTATCCCACATTTCTCCTAAAAAAGGACTCATGGTGGCTTACATCATTAAAAACACAATATTAAAAGTGAGAACAATAAATGGGCATGCATTGTGTTTTTTGTCAGTGTATGTGTGTGTTGAGCCACAATTAATAGTTAATGCAAGAAGTTGCAGTGTTTCGAAACCAGAAGTGGCTTTCGTGTCACTTTCACATATTTGGAGGTCTGGGAGGCCCCCTAGAGGATAATAGGGACAGAAAACTGGCCCTTGGATGTGCCAACACTATCCACTGCTGTTACAGAATCTTGGCACCACCTTCTGCTCCCTGATGTAAATACAACAATGACTTATCTAGAACAGTGGTCAGGAACAGGGGTAAATTACCCCAAATGGAATAAAATTAAAATCCTCGGGGTAATGACCAGCGTGCTACCTCCACCCCACTCCCCTGCAGCCGAACCTCAAACTGTAAGCCACCTCTCCCTCCTACCTTCTTTGCTTACTCTTGGCACCACCTTCTGCTCCCTGATGTAAATACAACAATGACTTATCTAGAACAGTGGTCAGGAACAGGGGTAAATTACCCCAAATGGAATAAAATTAAAATCCTCGGGGTAATGACCAGCGTGCTACCTCCACCCCACTCCCCTGCAGCCGAACCTCAAACTGTAAGCCACCTCTCCCTCCTACCTTCTTTGCTTGCGGCACTTGTAAATCCGTTATTTTAGAGATTGGACATAAGGTTGTTTTATTGTTTACTGCTGTAGAACAGCCCAGGGCAGTCAATCTGGCTTGTGAATGACTACTTCTGCCCAGAGGTGACTGCTGGCAGGACGAGGGAAAGCCGCTATTAAGGTGGGAAGGTGCGAAAGAGGGACGGGTGGATTCATCATCTTGTTTAAATGTATGTAGAAAACCGAGAGAGGGAGGGAGGGAGTGTGTATGAGAGAGAGAGAGACTGATTCAAAACTGAAAAAAGGAACAGAGGCAAGCAGGACGGAAGGCTTGAATTAAGACGGAAAAGAAGGGAGGATTCATCAGCTTGTTTAAATGTAATGAGAAGAAATGGACATACTGAACTGAAGAACTATTTGTTGAACATTGAGGGAGGAAGGGTTTGTGTGTGTGTGTGTGTGTGTGTGTGTGTGTGTGTGTGTGTGAGAGAGAGAGAGAGAGAGAGAGAGACGCACAAAGAGAGAACTCACTCTTTCATTAAACCATGAAAAAAGGAAGCTTCTGGAGTTAATCTCCAGTTTCTGCTGAGAACAGCAGAAGTCTGAAGTGCGTAGCAATCACATTTCTCTATTTCTAACCCCCAAAGCAAGCAAGAGTATCATACTTTATTCCCAAATCTGAATCCCTGTCTCTCTGCTCCTGGTCTTGCCTTGACTGCAACACCAAACAAAATGTCTTACAAACAAAGACTGTGGCTTTCTTTATTGAGTCAATTCATCTCATATGCATTCTTTCTCTTTTCCTACTGCATTGCACTTTTTCCTGCATTGCTGCCGTTTCCAGTGAGCTTATCTTCTCATGATGCCACCGTAGTACAAAACCCTTAGTTTGGTTATTTTAGCTTCTAGTGGGAGTCCACACTTAATTTGCTTTACTTATCTCTCTGACAAATCATGCTATCAGCAAATAAGTGAAATGTGTGTATACACTTTATGAAGTTTATAAAATGTGTAAAGTCTGCACTCCTATATATAGCTGCTTTTCTGAGGGTGGTTTACTTTCGAGGAAACAAATCCAGGATTTCAATGTACTTAATAAGCTTTATAAATGTTGTTTAGTCATGTCCGACTCTTCATGACCCCATGGACCAGAGCACGCCAGGCCCTCCTGTCTTCCACTGCCTCCCGGAGTTGGGTCACATTCATGTTGGTAGCTTCAATGACACTGTCCAACCATCATCCTCTGTCATCCCCTTCTCCTCTTGCCTTCAAACTTTCCCAACATCAGGGTCTTTTCAAGGGAGTGTTTTCTTCTCATGAAATGCCCAAAGTCTTGGAGCCTCAGCTTCAGGATCTATCCTTCCAGTGAGCAATCAGGGTTGATTTCCTTCAGAATGGATAGGTTTGTTCTCCTTGCAGTGCAGGGGACTCTCAAGAGCCTCCTCCAGCACCACATTTCAAAAGCATCAATTCTTCGGTGGTCAGCCTTCTTTATGGTCCAGCTCTCACTTCCATACATCGCTACTGGAAAAACCATAGCTTGGATTATGCGGACCTTTGTCAGCAAGGTGATGTCTCTGCTTTTTAAGATGCTGTCTAGGTTTGTCATCACTTTCCTTTCAAGAAGCAGGTGTCTTTTAATTTTGTGGTTGCTGTCACCATCTCCAGTGATCACGAAGCCCAAGAAGGTAAAGTCTGCCAGTGTCTCCATATCTTTGCCTTCTATTTGCCAGGAGGCGATGTTGAGCTTCAGACCATTTTTTGTGCTCTCTTCTTTCACTCTCATTAATAGGTTCTTTAATTCCTCCTCACTTTCTGCCACCAGAGTGGTATCATCTGAATATTGGAGGTTGCTGATATTTCTTCCAGCAATCTTAATTCTGGTTTGGGATTCCTCCAATCCAGTCTTTTGCATGATGTATTCTGCATATAACTTAAATAAGCCAGAGGTCAATATACAGCCTTGTCGTACTCCTTTCCCAGTTTTGAACCAATCAGTTGTTCCATATCCAGTTCTAACTGTTGCTTCCTGTCCCACATATAGATTTCTCAGGAGATAGATAAGGTGGTCAGGCACTCCCATTTCCTTGAGAACTTGCCATAATTTGGTGTGGTCCACACAGCCAAAGGCTGTGTACTCTTTGGCACTTCCCTTCTTTGGGATTGGAATGTAGACTGATCTTCTTCAATCCTCTGGCCACTGCTGAGTTTTCCATTGATGATGATAAAAAAAATAGCACACTGGGCCTTTGCTATTGGGTTGTGGTACCAGGGTGGATGACATGACCTTTAGCCTGGTTTGTTCCTTTTTGCACACCACACACAGAATGATTGAAGTGGTAGGAACCCCCCCCGCATTGGCTGTCTCTAGCAAGCATGTCATTGCTAGGACCACTCTGGCAGCCACTGATGATGATTAAATCCTCTGCGAGCTAGCAAAACTTTAATGCAACTTGCTAGACACGTTGGCCAGCTTATTACTCCCTATACCACCCCATGGCTGGAGTGCAATGTGTTCCAGCAAAAATAGTGCACATCTTTATTAAATTTGGTGCATCCTGCCAGTTCGGTACACAGCCTGTGTAGATTCAATAAGATTTTGAATTCAAATAAGGTAAGGTTTCCTTCCTTTCAAATCAAGGGGGCAATGTCAGCATATATAATTTTTTGGGGGGGGGAGGGAGGTAAAAGGTTAAAAAATTCCCTGACGCCTGATCTAGAATAGTAACTTGTTGCAGCAGCAGTTGGATAATTTGTGCTGGGAACGTGAACAGGAAAATGTATGGGATTTTTCCCCAAACCAAAACCAAATTCATGTAGCTTTATCTTTGTGTATTATGTTCATTTTCATGCTACCTCCCTTTTCATTCCATTTTAGTGGAAAATCTATTGTTTTTCTCCTTTGTAATTTTGGCTTTTTTGCATTTCAATAACATGACATTTCCAGGCATTCTGTTATTCTAAAAGATTACAAGTCTGCCAACTTTCAAAGAGACTGGAGTAAACAGAGGTTTTGAATGGTGTTATTTAAAATAAACTTTCATGAGTGTTGGCAATGCTACCTGGGGAATTCTGGGAGCTGTAACTTCAAAAAGTAACTTTTCATATCTATCAGAGAAATAAGAAATTCATTTTAAAGGGAATTAAATGAAAATATGCCCTATATTACAAGGAAAGTTA